ATATAAATATATATATGCATATATAAATTCGCATTAGCGAGTAAAAACAATCGTGTCGTATCAGCAACAAAAAACAACATTGCCTACCTGACTCTGCATTTGATCCACCAACGACCATAGTGATGTACAATCTATATTATGCTCCACTTCTGCCTCTCTGTAATATTCGCTATATTCACAATAGATGGAGAAACGCAATCCGTCTCCTAGCTGCTCGGCCGTATGGATATGAACTTCATTCATCTAAATGTTTATTATTTACTAAATAGTATTGAAAATAGTTGTAGAGGTTAATGTAAATACATTTTTTTCGATGCGAACCTGCGCACCATCACAGCAATGAGCAAGCCAGACATCCCAGGACTCCAGCCTCCAGGCCATCAGCCAGCAATCAGCTGTTTTCCTCAAACCCTGCGTAGGGAGATATTAACAAAATATTTTATGCAAAAAGCCAACAAAGCGTGTTCACATAAACAAACATGAGTCACAAGTATTGTTTTTTCTCGGGTCTCGGCCTCTCTATAGGAGTAGTATTAAGTATTTAGACTCTCGCAGTCCCTCTCTCTACTACATAGTAGAGAGTAGTATTAATAGTAGAAGACTCTGGTTAAAAATACTAGAGTAGTCCTAACACAGAGGGCACTGGGCACTGGGCACTGGGCAATCATTGGCAATATAAAATTAATACGAATTCCGATCTGGGACTTCGCTCTCCCTTCCCCTGATCCTCTATGAACTACTAAAAAAAACATCTTCTGGCAAAAATTGTTCAGATTCAAGCGCAGTTACGTACATTCTATGTGTACCTCTTCTGAAAGCAATGCTACAGACACATTAACCATTGTAGTGCAGTATTTATATACTTACTGTATGAATGTACTACGTATATTATTTATTATATATATGGGAAGAAGAGGAGAAGTGGGGGGGGGATTAGTCTGCGAGCCTTTCACATGCCAAAATTTAAATTAGAAAAAAATACTTTGTGTGTATTGGGATTATTCATCTTAGACATTAAAAAAAACCCCCCGCTTAGTTTTTTCAGTGATCGGACTGCTTACATGCCATATCACTGATATCAGAGTCATCTAAGGAAGTTTCAGTTTCCAAACTGTATACTATTGTCTATAATATAAGTATTTATAAGGATGGCTTAAATAAAGATCAAGGTAGACTAAAATAGAGGTATAAGGTAGGCTAAAAAACAAGTATTTATAAGGAAGGCTACACGAGGCAAATACCTGCAGGCCTGGGTGCTGGGCAAGTATGTGAACACCACAAGTTCCATATTTTTTTTGGTCAGTCGGCTGTCCTCCAGAATGCGCAACCAGTCAGAGGATCGTGCAAAATGAAAAAGGAATGAGAAGCCATTTCTAATAGCAAACTGTAGCAAATATCTTTAACTTCAATTCGAGAATACCGTTTCGCTTGGGGTACCCAGTTGTGAATGAGTTGTTCTCGATACAGAATACACAAGGGACATACCCCCCGCAATATCCGCAGCCATTCCAACTTTGAAATCTCTTTTACCAACATTAGAATCGTTCAATAGTCATCCGTTGCGAGATTGGTTTCCCGCCAATGCCGAACATAGCTGTACTATGCGTGACACCTTCAATAATATACAGGACTCACTCTCGGGTTTACAGAGGGTGTATGTAGAAGATGGTGATGTTGATGTGGCAAGCGAGTGCGAGGTTAGCTCACGGTGTGCGAAGCAACCGCTTGTAAAAATATGCTAGTGCGTTTCTTAAGCTTGCGAGGTCGTATCCGACTAATAGCAAACAGGGTAATATAAAACCCTAAAACCTCCAAAAGGCAAAAAGGGGAATATAACCCTAAAACCTCCAAAAGGACTCTTCGGCGCTTTCTTCTGATACTAATGATTTTTATTATGCCACGAAGCCCAGCCACACCACTCATTCATGGAAGTGCGCCTGCAAGGTGCTCAATCTGCTATGGTGCGTATTCAGAGGGCCACCTGCTTCGTCTTGGTGGGACGGAGAGTCATTTCTAGTCACGACAATCCTTTACGCCGTTAATTGTCAAGACAATCATTTACGCCGTTAATTGTCAAGACAATCCTTTACGCCGTTAATTGTCAAGACAATCCTATACGCCGTTAATTGTCAAACAAACCTTTACGCCGTTAATTGTCAAACAATCCTTTACGCCGTTAATTGTCAAGGCAATCCTTTACGCCTTTAATTGTCAAGACAATCATTTACGCCGTTAATTGTCAAGACAATCCTTTACGCCGTTAATTGTCAAGACAATCCTATACGCCTTTAATTGTTAAGACAATCCTTTACGCCGTTTTAGGGTTTTTAGCGCAGCTGATCTACAGGGCTAGGAACTCATCCTTCCTCTTTAGGTATTCCTGTAGTGGGGTAGTCGGTGTATCAGTGACAGTGTATGGCAACACCGGCAGCAAACAACCCAGCTATAACATTTCCAGAATCGTATTTCCTCGTTCTGGTATGAGATCATGATCAATCTGGCTCTATTTGCCTGTATTCTATTTGTCCACTATAATATAATGGACTCATTATATGTCTGCTATAATATAATGGACTCAATTACCCACTATAGTATAGTGTATTCTATTTGTCCAATATAATATAATGGACTCTATTTATCCACTAAAATATAATGGGACTCTATATTCCCACTATAGTGTAATGTACTCTATTTGTCCACTATAATGTAATGGACTCTATTTGTCCAATATAATGTAATGGTCTCTTTTTGTCCACTAAAATATAACGGATTCTATTTACCCACTATACTATAATGTACTCTATTTGTCCACTATAATATATGATGGAGTCTATTTGTCTATTATAACAGAATGGACTCTATTTGTCCACTATATTGTAATAGACTATATGTCCAATACAATATAATGGACTCTATTTGTCCACTAAAATATAATAGACTCTATTTGCCCACTATAGTATAATGTACTCTATTTGTCCACTATAATGTAGTGGACTATATATATATAAATATATATATATATATACTATAATGTAATGGAATCTATTTGTCCACTATAATATAATGGACTCTATTGGTCTACTATAATATAATGGACTCTATTTGCCCACTTTAATATAATGGACTCTATTTGCCCACTATAGTATAATGTACTCTATTTGTCCATTATAATATCATGGACTATATCTATTTTTACTAAAATATAATGGACTCTATTTGTCCACTATAATATAATGGACTCTATTGGTCTACTATAATATAATGGACTCTATTTGTCTACTATAATATTGTGGACTCTATTTGTCCACTATTATATAAGGCACTCTATTTTTCCACTATAATATAGTGGACTTGTCAATATACTGTGAACCAAATCCAGATGCACCACCTTATATTCTATATAGAAGTACACTCAATATTACTGATCATTCGAGGGCACAGGCAGACACACCAGGAATCGGATCTGCGCGTAGGCTGCGTAGTCGAAGTCGATGTCACTAAATTTGGCTTGGACTAGAGCCCACACGCCCCAATAGATATGGGCGGCCAGTCCGAACTTGTTCACCTCCCGGTACAACTTCTCGACGTCGTCGGTAGATATCTCTGTTCACGCACAGGCAGAGATAGACACTAGAGTGCGCAACGTGAACTTAACTGTGATTGTAAATTTTTAGATACCTCTGTTCACGCACAGGTAGAGATAGACATTAGCGTGCGCAACGTAAACTTAACTGTGATTGTACATTTTTCTGCGAGTATATTTATGCATAGTTGTGTATAGGCCATACATGGGTGCTCCAGTAAGGCTTTGTGTTCACCAGGTGCACGGGTTGGCTGATACTGAGTATATGAGACTCAATTCGAGATACTATCCTTTGGAAGTGTGGCTCGAGATAAGGTAGGATTGGCCGCCTAATGCGGGCGCGTACCCTATATATATATATGTACATACACACGCACACACACACACACACCTGCACATATATATTAAAGTAGACACTATACATAAACACCCTACCCATGCAAACACAAAGGCGAAACCTACACAATACATGATACACACACATACAAATAAGAAACATCAAATACTATATGATGACACATACACACACGGATGAGCCGCATTGACTGCTCTGTGATGACACACACACACACACGGTTGAGCCGTATTGACTGCTCTGTGATGACACACACACCCACGAATGAGCCGCATTGACTACTGTGTGATGACACACACACACACGGAGGAACCACATTGACTACTGTCAGGTCATACCTCGATGGGGCTGATATTCTGACAGGTAGTTCCTCAGCCACCTCTTCTGAAAGTCTTCTTTAGGGAACAGTGAGTAGTCCACCGGGTCCTCCATTCCAGCGAATTCACAGAAATGGTTGCCAATATCAAACCCTCGGTAACTATAGTTACCGTATTCGTAGTCGATGAACCCGACCGACTCTATTGTATGAGACATGTGGGTCACAAAAAAGCCCATTAAAACACGCCTGGTATATACTACAACCACATAGGTAGGTCTCACCGCACCAAGTGAGCAACTGTCTATAGGCAAGCATACCAAGGACCAGCCAGCCCATACAAGTGCATATCTTAAAAGGCACAACAGTGAAGTGGAGTTCACACACGGCCGACTGCAAAACACACCGCTGCACACCCTACAGACACTCAGACACACACGACATGATAGGCAAACGGATACACAGGATTTGCGAGTGCACGATGCTACCTACAACACTACCGGGCGTTAGCCACCGAATTCGTGGGCATTGGATGATGCACATTCAGGAGTGTATGTACGGGGTGTGGCGGACACCATGTCAAAGTGGAGGATTAACGACATAGAACCTATGGGAAGGGCAGTAGGCACGTGACCTGCTACACATACGCCAAAAGAACCATGTCATTCTAATTTCAGTAACAGCTATAACAACATACCATATCAATGTAGTGAGTTAACGACATAGAACCTATGGGAAGGGCAGTAGGCACGTGACCTACTACACATACGCCACATGAACCATGGCATTCTAATTACAGTAAACAGCTATAACAACATACCATATCAATGTTGTGAGTTAACGACATAGAACCTATGGGAAGGGCAGTAGGCACGTGACCTACTACACTTACGCCACATGAACCATGACATTCTAACTACAGTATACAGCTACAAAACAAATACATGGAATCCGAACACCACACAACCCTCTCGCATAGAGGCGGTGCAGGGGACGGCCTAGGCAGGATGGCAAGCGTACGCAGTAGGAGGCACAGAGCACACGCACCGACAATCGTATACTCATAGTAGGATGAATGCAACATACCAGTTTTCTCGTTATAAAGTATGTTATTACACAGAAGATCGTTGTGACAGAACACCACCGGCGAGTTCAAGGGCTTCAGATACGAGCGTAGTTCCGCAATCTATGATATGAAGTCGAGAAGGAGCGAGTATGAGACCGAAGCACCGGCTTGAAAGAGTATCCCGCTTGCTTGCGCAGCAACAATATTCACATACTTCAGTTTTATAGCAGACAAAAAGTATTCCTAACGTCACTCTCTCGAGACATGTGGGAGTTATAGATCGCGGTATATGGTGGACAAGCGTAGAAACCTCACCTCTGCATATACTCCAAACCCTTACTCAATAGATCAGACATTTCAGAGTGGGTGCAAGCAAGGACGATGACTTTAAAAGTGTTGCACAGACGCCAAACGACTTCCCAAATACCCCTCACTCAATAGATTGTACTTCTCAGAGTGAGTGCAAACAAGGCCAATGACTTTTAGAGGCGTTCCACAGACTCCAAACGTCTCCCAACAAAACCCTCACTCGAAAGATTGTATTTTCCAGAGTGGATGTAAACAGGAACAATGACTTTAAAAGGGGTGCCTACACTAGAACTACAACCTGCCGAGCGCAGTCAAAGCATTCACAACGGATGTACGACTACCGGATAGTTCAAAGCTTCAATAGTGACGCTGGCTACACAGAAGCACACGGGGCATACCTCCGCTCTGATGTCGGCTATTGAGAGGTCTCCTTTGGACCGATCATGCACCGACTCTTTCCTGGGATGCAACTCCTCTTCCCGCGGGGTGGCTGAAACACCAAGGAATGTGTGGTGTGTGAATATACACAGGCACGAATACGTGCAAACGCCATCAATACACAATTATGGATGTATGAGCTTTGCAAACGCCATCAATACACAATTGTGGATGTATGAGCTCAGCAAACGCCATCAATACACACTTGTGGATATATGAGCTTTGCGAACGCCATTAATACACACTTGTGGATGTATGAGCTTTGCAAACGCCATCAATACACACTTGTGGATGTATGAGCTTTGCAAACGCCATCAATACACAATTGTGGATGTATGAGCTTTACAAACGCCATCAATACACAATTGTGGATGTATGAGCTTTGCAAACGCCATCAATACACAATTGTGGATGTATGAGCTTTGCAAACGCCATCAATACACAATTGTGGATGTATGAGCTTTGCAAACGACATCAATACACAATTGTGGATGTATGAGCTCGTGCGCACTGTAATGCCTCGTCCCTTGCGGTGGCTCCAACGCGAAGAACGTCAAAGGAATACGTTGTGTATAGATAACAAAGATACACATGACTACGTGCACGCCACCCCCCCCAACACTAGCGGCGGGATGAACTCTTGCGCAATACCATCACAACGCCACAACTAGGTCCATATATTCCAGATGACCCCATTCAACCACGCCAGCGTTCGGTCTCCAGTGTATATGACTCGGTGGTATGCCGTAGTATAGCCACCCGACACGCGGACGATGCCAACTCAGACACTACACAAGGTTATTGTAATACTGATACATTAAGTGCGGCATACCACACTCATAATGGCACGCAAACACTCAACCCGGAATGCAATGCTCAAGACCGATCCCAAACGCCATACCATATTCCAGCCATCGCTCAATGGTCTCCCATAACATAGGTGACATGTCGCCAGACACGTGCGTTCGGTGCCACGTGCCCAGTAGCTTCGCAGTTAAGGGCGATATGATTTCGTCACTCATACCTGCAGTATACGTGCACATACGTAGGCGTGAGTATACAAGTCGTTGCGATACGCACAGTCATACCTACGTGTGTGTGCATATAATCGACGTAAGCATACAAGCAGTTGTGGCACACACAGTCACGCCTGCAGTGCACGAGAATATACACAGGCGTGACCATATACGCAAGAAAACTGACTCGGTCTGCAGTTGAAGCGGGTCATAAATGGGCTGAAGGTTGAAACAAAGAGCATATATATGGGAATGGATGTGATATGCGCAGTTACAAAGGTCGACAATACAAGCACAGTGTACCACATACCAGAGGTATCCAGAGGTGTTCCATCGAGATAGCCATAGCAGAAGCCATTATTAAACCGACCCACTAGTTCAGGTGAGAGGCCTGACTTGTGTAGACTTACTAAGTTCTGTTCGAGAGGTGGACATAGTACCTGTAAGCGGCTACTTGTAATGCTGATGTGCAAGGCAGATATGATGCGACCATAGAATATATTATATATATACACAAACACACACACACTCACACACACACATATATATATATATATGTGTGTGTGTATATCGCATAAATGATGATATATTATAAATATATATACATACATACATAAAGTGATATATACATTACATTTACATATACATATATATATACATATATATAGTTATATACAAACATGCATACCCACACACACGCACACACTCATATATATATATATATATATATATATATTATAGTACGTGGCGCTTAAGGGTAGTATATATAGTATACAGGTATATAGCAGTCGCGCGGAAGACCAAGATTTTCCACTCGCAGCTGTTACGGTGACAGAGAAACAGAGACGAGCACTCACGTAAAATCTGGTACACTTAACCCGAAGGTGTTGTGCTAAACTCCATTCGCATTGAAACATACACAAACAAGTCTTAGCACAAACAAGCTTCAGGATTCTAAAGGCACACATCGGACGTAGACCTTTATATAGCTCGAGCATTTGAGTACACCCCAAGGGACCCTTGGCCTTAAGTGTGCGTGAAAGAAAGTCCGCTAAGCATATATTTAATGCATTGGCTTAATGATGTATCACACTGATAGGTGGTGTGGTGCCAACGTTGTAACACTCGACCTACCACCAACTCCTGGTCCCGGTCTATCAGTAGATTTGTGTTCTTTCCGTATATCCGGCACAGGCACTTCTCATCCGTGCCATCTAACGATACCATGAACACTGTCACGGGGTGATATATCAACTTATAAGAGATTAGAAGAGTGGAATTCGAAGTTCTTTGCCTCTAGGAGCGTGAGTGTGGAGCGTTCTACTGGTGATAAGTTCTCAAATGAGTTTAAGGTTTAGGAGGTTTAGGGTTTCAGCTAAAACCCAAAAAATCACATTAGGCCAGTATTAAGCAAGGATGTGAACGAACACCTATATAATACTCAGCAATGCCAAAGCAGAGGAACTACCACAAACTGCAAAGAAGTGGCCAAGCCAAACCTACGACGATTCTTATCATGGTATATGGTACTGAATCATCGAGGCTGCATTGCCTCTGCGATGAGAAACTTATACTTCACCACTCCCGCAGAATTTTGCTCGTGCATTCGCATTCCAACACCATGTAACTAGGCAGTTTGGGGACACACGTGGCATGAGCTGGAAAGAATAGCAATACACTGGCAGGTGTACTACGAATTATCTCCATGTACTGCATATAGGCTACAGGCTGATGAATTATTACGACGGGATAGGCTCGCATATAAGAGCAGGCGTGGGGTGCTTCCCTCGAAGAATACGGATGCGAAAGTGCCGACGTCTACAATACACTGTGTTCTTCACCGTCCACAGTCTTTCTAGAGATGTAAAGCACACAACCTGACACACACCTACGCATAACAATAAGTACCAGACGTGAGGGGCGCGCATATACCTTGACGCCTGAGTCGTGCACACGCTACTACTACCGTCCAGAAAAATGAGGCTCAGACATACATACACATGCGTGCGACATCAATAATGCCTACGGTGTATACATACATACGTTTATTAGTTAGTCCGGCTGTGAACTGCGTAAACTGCTTCTTCTGTTCAGGCCAGTGTGGTTTGAAGTGCTTCATCACCTCTCTGCGGAAAAGCAGGTGCAGACCCCAATGAGAAAAGAAAAGGACAGGACATTCATACCTACCACCATGCTCTCGGAGCACAAGGAGTGTAAAACTACGCACATGCACATCAAGAATCGATCACGACGTGAAGTTGGCACACATCCAGGAGTTCGGTACGAAAGCACGACACTACACAGGGGCGCAGGCCTGCAGAGTTGAGTGCAAAACACTTCACTGAAACTGTGTGCGAGCATCAGCTGACAGCTCTATCTATAGCAAAGAAACCCCACCTAAAACTCCCCAACGTCTTGACCAGAATTTAGTTTGGTATAAACCATAATAACAACTTTGTCTATAGAGCGGGTTGATTTTAAACGTAACGCTAATCACTACATATACTTCACCAATCCAATATGAAGATTGTCAAATGAATATGACATAAATGCAGCTAAGCGCTCGCTGTCTGTAAAAGCCTCACCAATTGTAGACACATATATACAAGCTTGAGAACATATAGCGAACAATTCACATCACTAAACATTTGCACATGCGGTAACGAAACGAAACCATGTATTCATATATTTGAATTAGAGGCATATATGCATATTTTTCATAGACGTGCATGTGAAAAATGAACGAACACGATAGGATTCGATAACATACACCTCTAGCGGAGAATGAAGATATAAG